TGCACAATGGTATTTCAGATCCTTGACACTGACCTGAGACTCAGCCACCTTCACAGATAAAGTTAAATCTCTGACATGGGACGAGCGGACCTCCCCACAGTGGCATCCTTGAAGAAAGACTATAACTAGCAGGGCCTGAAACAAACCACCCATCTTGCAGACGGACCGGGTTATTGCTCTTTCCTGCACGTTTTCTACTTTTGACACGGGTTTTGGAATTCCAACCCCCTTATAAACTGGATGAACTACCAGTTATCAATTAACCCGGTTTTACTATAAGAACAGTTAAATCTATCTGGTTACTGTACAGCAGAGCCATTTTCCCAGGAGGGGTATTAATTATTTTTTGACTGTTTAAATAGCTATACAACACAGATGCAGACTTTTCCAGAATTAAAGTATTTCAACGACAGCATGTGATAATAGTTGCTTTATAATTTGTCCTGTCCAATATTGTCACAATATCAAATTCGAATTCACCACTCTTTAAGTAAGTATACATTGTAACAAAATGTATACATCTTAATGCAATGTAATAAATGAAACATTGTTTGAGAGCAATCTTTGAAATCCGCATATATCCGTGGTATCTGGGCAGCTGTGTAGACGATAATCCGTTTGATGGACATTTATGCATGTCCGGGTTTCCACCGACTTAGATAAAGATTTTGAGTAGTTTGGGCGAATAGTGAACTTTGTTTATTTGCAGATGGCGAACTCCGACCCTCAATGCACACACGGTATGGATGCACTACATGTATCCTAAAAGAAACACCATCACCAAGCAACTTAAAAATGTTAAGTAGTTGGGCAAATCGAGATTTTTTTAATTTGCAGATTGCGAACTGCGACCCGCATTACACACACGGATGCACATAGCGTATCATGAAAGGAACATCAACATCAAGCAACATTTAGCATAATTTTGAATTAGTGTTTTTCTTTGTACGTCGTGTCTGCTTGTTATTTTCCCCGAAGTCGTTATACAGTATTACATTAAACCTTATAATGACACGGCTTTGATCCGGACAGGAAATACACAAAATAAAGGACAAACAAAATTCAATTTCTCTTTCAAATAATTTGATTAACAGCAACCCAAAGAATCGTATTTACAATCACACAAACTAAACTGCAATCAAATATACACCCAAAGTAAACGTACATGTTTATTCAAAACGAGTAATTCAAGCTTCATTGAAGGTGAAATACGTACCAGATTAAATATTTGACTTTTTAAACTAGATATGAGAAGCAGAATCTCTGAATCAAGTTTCAATTGAAAACAAAATGTAAATCCATAACTCTCGAAATGCGTCTAAAATATAAGGTTTAAAGTCTCAGAAAGTTATATTCAAATCCCAAAAAGTGAGAAACTAGTTACTAAGCTTACTTACAACACATATACTCTTAAAGCCAACATTACATGTGTTGTCACATCAATTCAATTCAGTTTTCAATATTTCAATTTTTACAATTAAAACACTTAATATTAAAACAATTAAAACAAAAACAACTAAAAGTGAAATTCCTCTTCCCAATTTGCACACAAAAAAGCACTATTCATAAAATCTAAACATATAAGAATTTACATCAGACGAATTAAAGAACAAATAAAGAATTATAAAACACCATTGAAAACCCCAGCATCAAATCAATGATTGATCTATGATATTCAATCAAATGATACGATTAACAGCAAATACTGCATTCTTCTTGAATCCGTGAAATATGCGGCGCTACTACTTAAAACCTTAATAGTCTACTCTGGCAGAAGACTTCAACCTATTCTTGGCAAACGAGGTATCAGGAACCTATAGTCTGCGGTCAGGCTCAATGAGTCCTGCCTAGCTCTGTCACTCAGTTGGTCACTGAAGTATTTGGCCATCCAAGTATCAACATATATAACCCAAAATATAATAACCTCACATCTCTAAAACAATGAACAGTTGGCACTAATATTTAGTTCATGCCAAACTGCTTTGAAACTAATTCCAATATCAAACTATGAATTCCAACTTCAACCTGGCAGTTGAAGGTCTCGGTTAACAATTTCTCAATTTACAACGAACCGACCGAGATTTGAAGATTCATTATTTCATAATCGCAATCAATTAATAAATAATTTACTAGCAATAAATCTTTGTAAATGGGAACAAATGAAATTATGCTTGCAGTTCCGTTCTTCTTGGTTCATTTAGTGTCTTTGCCCTGTGCCTGGTCCAACAATTCTCCACACAAGATGCCCAAACTGTAATTGCATGTATTGTTTACTAACAAAGAACAATTTTTCCTTCCTTGGTGAACACTATCTACAGGTACACGGCACTGCAATGGGCACTCGCATGGCCCCCTCCATGGCTTGCCTCTTCATGGGTGACCTCGAAGAACGCATTCTTGCCTCGGCCCCATGTCGCCCTTGGATCTTGTGGAGATATACTGATGATGTTTTTTTTTATCTGGACCAGTGATGAGGACAGCCTCTTGACCTTCACTAACCACATCAATTCCTTCCACAGAACCATCAAATTCGGAGTTCTCGGCTCACCAAACCCACTTTCTGGATGTCACCGTCCACAAGCAAGGCAACTCAATAACCACTGACCTGTATTCCAAACCCACAGACACCCACCAGTACCTCCACTCCTCCAGCTGTCACCCCAGGCACTGCAAAACTAGCATAGCGTTTAGCCAGGCACTCACTCAAAAGAATTTGTTCTAATGATTCCGATTTCTCCCGCCATGCACAGACACTGAGGAACAACTTGGTGGCCAGGGGTCACAGCTCTCGTCAAGTTCATCGTGCCATTGCCAGAGCTAAAGCTATCCCCAGAAATCTAGCTCTCACGGGAAAGGCCCCCGATGCCATGGCCAAACTCATGATTCCCTTGGTTACCACGTTTCACCCCAATCTCCCTCCCCTTCGCAAAATCACTAATGACAATCTTCAATTCCTCCATACTTCAGATCGCCTTGCCAACGCCATCCCCAACGGCCCCACATTGGCTTACAGGTGTCCTCGAAATCTACGGGACTTGATTGTTCGAGCTGAAGTCCCATCCTTAGATGCATCCCCTCCCACCCAGCATGTTACTTTCAAGTGCAGTTCCAGATGTGTTGTCTGCCAGATTCATATCCAGGAGTCTGACTCCTTTTCTGGCCACTCTTCTGTCACTACCCACAGAACCATTGGCAACATCACTTGTAACACCTCTTATGTCATATATCTCATTCCTTGCAGGGTCTGTGGAGTGCAGTGTGTAGGTGAGACTAAGAATACGCTCAAGAAGCGTTTCTATGCCCACCGGTCAACAGTCAACACCAAGAAACTAGACAACCCTGTTGGTCATCACTTCAACCTGCCTAACCACTCCATTTCTGATATGATTTTGCAGGGCATTGAATCTCTTGGCCATCGCAAGGACTCAGTTCGCCTCAGCAGAGAGAAAGTGTGGATGAATCGTCTTCGAACTATTCAACCACATGTTCTCAACATCTAACTTGGAAATGATTAATCCTTTTCTTCCTCCAATGTCTTCTGTTAAAGATAATCCACCTGGTCTTCCTTGTTTGTGTTTACCCATTTCCCCCCATCTTTCATCCCTTTCCACCTCCATACTGTTCCCCCGCATCATCCCCCTTCACTCTCACACTCTTTTGTCCGTTCCCACTCCTTGTGACCTTTGATCCTTCCCCTTTCTGGTCCCTCCCCTCCCCAGATTCCTTGGGGTTTGCCATCTCCCTTTGTTTCTTTGTTCTCTCATCCACCCTCCACTGCATCTTTCCACACCTTTCCCACCTAATCCTCCATTTGTGTTTCTTCTTTCAGCCCCGCATGTTTGTGTGCACCCCCATGTTAATGTATTTCTGTTTTAGCCTCTGAAGAAGAATTAGCTAAGTTCGCAACGTCAGACCACATTCATTTAAAATTTGTATTGTTTCTAATTTGGCAAGTCATATGATGTGCCAATGTACACGCACACACCCACGCATGCGTGTACAACCACTGCTTTGTGGTGTACCAGAACAATAGGAGGTACCCAACTAGGAATGCTCACCGACTTGCTGGGTACCGTTTTGGTACCCCACAAGTTTTTCACGATATAGATATATGGATTTTACTCAAAAACTAGGAATTTGCAAGGTGAGTTGATCAGTTGCAAATGGAAGAATTTTAGAAAAGGGGTATTAAGTCCGAATTTTAGCCCAGGAAATTAATTTTTGTTAAAATAAGAGCATTTTGACATTAGTGTGCGACGTTGCAAAATTTTAGTACACGAGAACAAAGAAAGTACCCCACTTCTATGCCTATGACCACAAATTCGCTGCCTTGTGGGTGTACGCGTGTGTGCGTGGGTGTGGGGGTGTATGTGTGTTTTTGTGTTTTTGGTTTCAAGAAAATAAAATAACCACATTGTACCCTACAGCAAAAACAAGAATAACGTACTGATATCGTCAACGTTTCACGAACAGCCACATGCTATATATATATATATATATAATATGTTGATTTGAAGAAAAGTGTTTTCGAGATAATCGCAAAAGAAGTTTCCCATATTTTAAAACTGCAATAAATACTACTCTGCAACAACTTTGTGCAGTAAAAAAGCTTCACATGATTCAACGAGAGCTGAATTTTTACGTGAACCCTGTAATTAGAATTAATACTATTGTATTATTTAGTAAAGATATGTCGCTCTCCGTGGAAACGAACATTCACGTTTCCTACATATTAGCCCTTTCTGTTCAATATGTTTTGTAGGCGTTCAAGGGGCCAAAATGTATGTGGCTCTTCGTGAAAACGCCAAACTCAATTTTCGAGATATCTGGCCTTGCTAATGCTATTTGGAACTCAATGATGTCATGCTTACATAAACATGTCAAAATGGTTAAGTAAAATGTTTTAAAGCAAAATAGTAAGAAAAAATCAAAATCGAAAAAAATGGTAATTCGTCAAAACGGTGACTGTATAACTGTCTGTGTTGTGTGATAGTTTTTTTTACCTCTTCCTTTTTATAAAGTTACAGATATAAGGGTGGATTTACTGAACCAGACTACGCAGATACACAGCCTTAGTTAATGTATGGGTGGGTGCTGGCACCTGTTTCTTGATGCCATATTCTGTATGGGCATTCATTACGCTCACTTTGTTGTTCACTCTAGTTAAGATGTCCATAATATGAGTATTATTGTGATCGTTGGATAGCTCATCAACTAACGCATTGACATACCAAGAACCTTGTGCTGAATCACGGTATGAGACATATCCTGCTACAGTTGAGTAGCTCAGCAGAAAGTCAGCTTCATTGGGTATCGTTGTGGGTATGCCAACACCTATTCCACAAGGCCCAGAATCAGTTCTTACTTGTACTCCTTCTTGATGACTACTGCCTTGACAAGCCTGGAATAAAACACACCAGTAACAACAGAACTCATTACTAATATAGTTAATCCGGGCACCATGAATACAGGATCTGCTATGTGTGAAACGTCTTTTTTTGCATATTTTTGTGTCCAGACTGGTCCACCCAATCAAGGGCAATATAGATGGGAATTAAAAAAAACAAAATAAAAAACATAACAAGTTCGCACGGGCGAGGTGACAAACTTTAATGAGCTCTGATATCATCATTTCATTTACATACAACCAATTACAGCGCGCACTGGTTTGGGAAGTAATGAATACACATTTAGTGAATACGCGGTGACCTGATTTAGCCGCGTGCACACGCAGTAAACAAATGACCAATTGCCAATCAGCATGCAGTACCGTGTGTAAAGAACTAGCTGCACGCGCGCGGCGATTTTGCACGCGCGCGCGTGTACTTGTTGTAATGATTGATGTTGACCTCAACTTCAGTTCAATCGATCACTTGAGACAGCAAATAACAATTGGATAAATCCAAACACGGGGTCTGCAACTAGACTTGTCTGTGTTTGTTACCAAGATGTTCACTTAAACGTGAACGTGGACTGGTGAGACTTACATACTCTATTCGCATTAAGAATGTTCATTGACATTGCTTTAATGAACGTTTATGTCAAGATGATCAATAACAGCATATGAAGATGACGAGAGTGAATTTGAGCTTTGGAAACAGCTTTCGTACGCCAACATTTCAAAGAGCCGTAAAAAGAGCACCCACATACACACACTCAGAAGGAGAAGTCGGAAACAGTGTGCCTTTTGAGCTACGCCACGGGGCATAAAAATGTGTTTTTCGTTACTCACGCCGCGACGAATTGATTCTGTTTTTACCCCGGACACCACGTGCAAAACCAAACACTGATGTAAAGCACTGGCAGGCACCAGATGTTTCCTCATATGTATACGTATCAAAAAAATCTGGATATGCAAATGATCCTATACTAGGGTGAAAGAACAGGTAGTGGTGGGAGCGTACTGCTCGACACCCTGAGAACGAGGTTGGGGTACCATTGATCCTTTTTTGTGAATACCCCATTAGGTAGCTCTTGTAAGAGCAACCAGGCCATACACAGATATTAGCATGGCCTTCATACATATAATGCAATGAACATATGATTGATAGAAAGCAAATGCAGGATGGTCAATTCTATTTTCATCTACTTCCATTGACTGTTAACTTTGCGTCACATACATTTGCAATGCATTATAAAAAAGAGACAAAGTATCACACTGGTATTTAATGTACCTGTATGAAAAACAGTTTTGGCTTGTTGATAAGACTCTCACATGAAGTTCCTGTGAAAAGTCCTAGGATCTGTTGTATCTGCAGAAGCTTGTTATCCGTGCCGGAGACTGTACCCAACGCCCCATGTGTCATGATACAACATGCAAAACAGTCATAGTCACTGTGACTAAGCAGACTGACTCTTTTGAACCAATCAAGCATGTCACTGGCTGTAAGATTCTTCCTGACTTCCACCTGGAAATGAAGTTCGTTGAACAGATGCTCCAATTTACCTGCACATAACACGAAAGATGATATTGGCAGTTGTCACCTGATCAGTGAAATGCGTGGCACCTACCAGCTGGGTGGAGCCTATACGTACCACACGACAACAACCAACGTACAAAAATGTACATGAGAATACAGCCTGTGCTAAAAAAAAAAACCGCTGTACAGTTTGTCCCTAAACTCTGTCTGGTACTTCTTGACATACTCACGTATTATGGGTCAAAACAAAAGCGGGTAGATTCGGTCCTGATTTTCCAAAAACAATGATGAAAAAATCCTCCTTCCCCATGCCGCACTGAGGCAAAATTCACTCGCACATGTAAGGCAAGACGTACGCGCCTGGGTTATATGGCCGTAGTATATGCGGGACAAAATTGCATGTGGGAGTGTGATTAGCTAATCACAGGCCGCCCCCAAGTATTTATGTTGAGTACGGCATCCAAAAGCCAACAGGTCAGTAATACATTATGCATACACAGTACATGATTTGACAGACCGGACGGCTGTTGAATTTCGTACTCAACATAAATAATCTGTGAAATTTGATTGGCTAATCAGACTCCCGCATGCAATTTTCCCCCGCATATACATGTATATACTTCAGACAGTGAAATCACAGCATAGGACCTGCATAGACACTGGACACCTCTCCATTAACCGTTGAATTTTTGGGCACACTCTTAAGACCTTTGATAAAGAACGTGACACACAGACAGACATCAGACACCGTAGATAGTGCGGCTTAAGTTTTTTTTTCAACGATGGCTGTTGCATTGAGTGCGTTCGATTACTTCCCCCAGCTTACTCGCGCCTTGCTCCTCGCGTAATGACAGACATGCGCAGTGGAGCTAAATAAACGAACGCTCTCGGGTAAAGTTTCGTGCAAAAGCTGGAAACATGGGCGTCGCCAGGTTTTTTTTCTAGTGGGGGGGGGGGGCAAAACATATTTTCCAAAAAATCCTGTTTTTCTCAACATACTTTCGATTTATCTGTTTTTGAAGGGGGTAGGGACATTTTGCCCCCCCCCTCCCACCCATTAAATTTACACCAATATGACTTCTCGCCTCTTTTCTTTTCTTTTTTACTCTGTTTTTTTTCTCCCTTTTTTTCTTTGCTTTTCGAGGGGGGGGGGGATGTTGCAACCTGACGCCACTTTTTTCTTCATATATCATCTTAATGACGGTCATTCATTGCGAAAATGATGATAAGACATGAATCTGGGTCTGGAAAATATTTTCCCATTTTGTTAAGAAAATAATTTCCTGACTCTCCACAGACTTTGTACACAATCGCGGAAATGGCGTCAGGTTGCCATAGAGCTACATAGGGTTTGTAGCTCTACATAGGGTTTGTAGCTCTATACTCCGTGAAAGCCCGTTTCGGACACGGCCTGAAGCGCCCACCGGACGTTGCATGGCCTTATGGGATACTTACCCAAGTAACCGACTCGGCGAGTCGGTTACTTGGCGAGAATTAAAGCGCAAGAAGTCACGTTAGAGGTAAATCGAACGCTGTCGCGCTTGCACGAGTAAGGGCGGGGGAAGTAATCGAACGCACTGAATGTTACCGGAAGTCTTTGTACACCCTTCCACTGTCCCTGATCATCAGCCAAATTATTGCCAATGTGGTGAGATATATATGTTTTATATGGTTTATTATATATTGATCTTAACAAAGGGTTAGTTTGCTTCAAATGACAAATGATGATTTAATAAGTTGATTATGCCTGCATATATGTATCTATAGTAATACATTACATTTAACACGCGAGGCATGAAGGTATATGATCAGTTTCCGATATCCAATCTTTGTCCAGTGTAATAGTTTGGTCCTTTTACTTGTTGCCCATGTTTGGTATCAGTTTGGAAGGCATATGTACAAATGTATTAGATGCCGAGAAAGTTCTTAAACTGTTATGTTCTTGTTCTTAAACTGTTATCTAAAACTTTATTTTCTGACTTTATATTCACTCATATACTTCTGTGGCCTTAAAACGCAATGCATTTCAGTTATTCCTCACCAACTGCATTGTATCATGGTAAATCTAAGCAACTACACAAAATTATAGGTGGATATTCTTCAGTCAGAAACACCTTTACGAAACAACAGATTAACAGAATCTCAAACCTGTGTCTTTATCACTTCCTAGGCGGGGTTCGTCTGATCCCTCAAAGTCGACGTTGTTGATGATCATACACAGCCCCCTTGGGTTCCGATCCATCCTGTATTCTAGTAAAGATGAAAAAGAAGAAAAACGGAGAATATATATTGAATGTTAAACAATTATGTAACAAATTAGTAAACGAGGGCACGCTGTGCTACATACTCAAGCCGCTCCATTTTTAAACAACAAAAGTTTCTTCAGCGGAATGTTTTTGCACAACGATTAAGCAGGGTCTGCCAAAAACGGGTAAAAACCAAAGGTAAAATAAAAGTATGATCATATCTGTGAAGTGAATAACCATAATTATGGTTTTATCATATACTGGGGCAGTAAGCTTTCTATTGAAATCTCTCGTATTTTTCGTCCACGGTTTCACAAGATGAACACGTACACCCAGTCATTTTGTCTATGCTTCCGAGGATCGGCTTTGTGTTTTCCTTTGTTCCCTTATCTAAACCTTAACCATAGAATAAGCGCACAAACCGGCATTCGAGGACAATAGGCACCGTCGTCGAGGATGAACGGCCCCTTTGTGCTCCTTTTGTTGTCTGTCCTCGAGCGTAATACAATGAAAGAGCACACACACACACACACACAGACACACACACAAGTTTACGTTACATACCAAGTGTGGACTTTCAATTACTTTCGTGTAGTTAAAAAAAACCAGTGAAAAAACTCATTTTTCTCAAACTGTGAAAACCCTTTCAACCCAATTTTTTTTCTATGATTCCCTTTAGTGTTTCTCTTCATTCTGCTACAGATAAACCTAACCCCAAAATGCCTCTAAACCTGTTTTCCAGAAATGGGGAAACACTGTGTGGACTTGCCCAAGTCCGCACAGTGTCTCCTCTACCTGGTTTATGTGGACATCTTTTGTTCGGAAGTCCACACAGTGAATGTAATGCCTGTACACACACCCACACACACACACGTGTGTAAATGCCGGTGTAGCGTGAATATCCGCCTCCATGAAATGTGGACTCATTGGTAGTAGTGCGCACGCGTGAGTACGATACTATGCTATTTTTAGGATCGTTTGGGGAGAGTGACCTGTCACGTGCGAGGGATTAACCAATTAAAGGGAAAAAAGGGGTCCGATTTTCATAGGAGTCGGATTTTCATGTGCCACCGGCAATCGTGGACGCCCCATTGTCCATTATCCTCTTTCCTTTGTTTGTACTCTAATCTTTTAGCGACTGCTCTCATTGGTTTTGTACACGATTTGAGATCGTGGACGTTCGGTCAATCGTGGACGTATTGTTTGCGCCCACATTCTTTTGTCCTACGTCCACGATTGCCGGTGTTTACCTACTCACACACACACACCCAAGGAATACACTGTTGCAATATCCCACTGTTGGCTAAAAATCCATGGGGATAAAAGAAAACCTTGTCGAAAAAGTATGTTCCTTAAGTGACATCACGACAAGAGTGCCCTCAGTTGCAAGAAAAAGCATGTAACAATTTGTTTTAAAGGGAAAATACAACATTTGCAAACATAAAACAATAAAACTACCAAATCATTTTGAAATACCTTGCTGGACTGTTAGTGAATGACAGTGTAAAGCATCCTTTAAAATCATGGCACCTGGTATACTGTCATTTCCAAGAAAAGTGTTATTTTTGTATCAATTTCCAACGCTGATCGGCCGACCAGCGTTGGAAAAAACTGACTTTTTTTCAAATACTGGCCCCAATTGACCATCGCACTTGTTTACAATCGATTACACACCTATGAACAGGTACAAGCCAGCTAGACTGGTTTCCTGACCTTACTATTCCCCATTGTATGTAAACTGCTCTGTTTCTTCTTATATGGAGTCAGGGAACCAGACTACAGGAAAATATTGTTTTTCTTGGTTTTTATTAGCATTTTCGAACCCAAAACCTCAAAAAAGTCAGTGTAACTATATTTGCTATATATTTCCAACCCCCCAATTCCATCCATTTCTGAAAATTAAATAATGTATATTCCCTTTAACCAAAAAGTGAGGTCTTATAGTTTGTATACATTAGTCCAGCGGATATGTGAAAAAATTGTGCACTTTTGCATAAAAGCATGAAACTTGGCACAGATGTTTATTATTTATGCGAGAAAATGTTTTAGATGTGGAGCCATCGCAAATTTACCTTTTTAGGGGCGTGGCATCCATTTAAAAAAAAAGGGGCGGGACTTGTCGTACCCGCAGTGTAAACGGTTGTTTCCACTTGTCACCAAAGCAGGAAACTTCACAAAGACATAATTGTATAGAATATAAGTGTTTTTCCGATTTGGAGCCACCGCAAAAATACCTTTTTGGGGGCGTGGCAGCCATTTTAAAATAAGGGGGGGGGTAATTATTATGCCCATCTTGGTAAAAATTGTGCCCATATTTCATGAACGAATAAAAGTTCCACAGACGTTTATGTTCATGAGAAAAAAAATCCAGATGTGGAGCCATCTCGAACACACCCTTTTAGGGGCGTGGCAACCATATTAGGAAAGGGGGCGGGGTTTTCATTTTGCCCACCATGGAAATTTTGTTTCCACATTCACAGAGAAATAGAACTTTCCACAGACATTGACATTCATGAGAAAACAAATTCAAGATGTGGAGCCATCGTGAACACACCCTTTTAGGGGCGTGGCAGCCATATTGAAAAAAGGGGCGGGGTTCTCATTATGCCTACCACATAGAAAAATGTGCTCACATCTCATGGACGAATGAAGCTAATTCCAACTGACATTTATATTCACGAGAAAAAAATTCAGACGTGGAGCCATTGCAAACACACCCTTTTAGGGGCGTGGCAGACATAGTAAAATGGGGGGGGGGTAGTCAGGATGCCCCTATTAAAAGAAGTTGTGCCCAACTTTCATAAACGGATTAAACTCCACGCAGCCAATATACTCATGAAAATCTTTCTTTTTCTGAACATAAAGCCATCACAAACCTACCCTTTTAGAGGCGTGGCATCCATTTTCAAAATGGGGGGTACTCAATACGCCCACCGTGAAAAATTTTGATCGCTTTTCATATGACAAAATCCATCTCAAATAGGTCTTCTAATGTGTTGGAGTAGGGCCGCCTTATAGTTGGAAGTGATTATTGGCAAACCCTGTCTTTTCTTAATACACCACGCATTCTTGCCTCATCTATATTAACGCAGTTATATGGTTCTGTTTGTATGTAGAATTATTGTTAACCTCTCAACTGCAGTATTTTTTTTAATTAGGGTTTAAGCTGGAGTACCTCAGTTAGTCTTCTTGTGTTACTTCTTCAAATACATTGTGTTTCCCATGCCTTTTTTGGGACAGATCCAAAGGCATATGCAGACCTTTATAAAGTATAAAATGTTGTCAGGGCTACTGATGTTTGTAATGGATTTGGTTGGGGTAAAAAAAAACACTCATCAGAGCTTGATATACCATTTCTAAGAAAACGGGGGGGGGGGGGTTGTATCGTGGGGGTACACAGATTCATTGAATGTGAAGTCATAGTGGACGTGCCCACCACGGCGAGGAGAGTACATCGTGTTGTGACCAACCTGCTGTCAATGCGGCGCAACGGGTAGGGGGTAGGGGGATTTTGCCACCCCCCCCCCCACACCCACACACACACCATGAGAAAAAGAGAACAGATAACGAAAAGAAAAAAAATTGGAATGAAAGTCAATATTTTATTTCACATTTAACGTATACCGGTACACGAAAACTATTGAAATGGCCATAAAATGTGATTGTTTTAAACAGCGCCCCAAGTGACATATGACACCACCACCCCACCCCCACCCCCATTAAAAAGTATTTCCTTGGCCCTTAAACGTTAAATGTTAGAGTTTAGGGCTGCCATTGTGTGTTGTGTATTTATAATTTTGAAATCACTCTGAAATGTATATGTGCATGATAATATAGGTACATGTACACACGTTGAACCCTATAGCTGGTTAGTCTACCGGTACTTACCCATGCTCTTTGATATTACCAAATAAAGTAATATTGGTTATGGGCCAATCAACATTATAAGAAATTAACAACAAAATATAAAAATTGCAATTGTGGGCACAGTGAGTAGGCCCCTCACGCCTCCAAAAGGATGAGTTTGCTGTGGCTCCACATCTGTATCTATTTTCTTTCACCAAGATTGTGTGAAGTTTACTCATTAATAAAAGGTAGGTACAAGTTACGATGGTGGGCAAATGATTAGTAGCACCCCCAATTTTTGTTAAATATATATCACGCCTCTAAAAGGGTAAGTTTGTGTTGGCTTCACATTCGAAAAAAGAATGATTCTCATAAATATATTGTCTGTGTGGAGTTTAATCTGTTTATGAAAGGTAGGCACAACTTTTTTTAATAGGGGCATCATGACTACCCCCCCCCATTTTACTATGGCTGCCACGCCCCTCAAAGGGTGTGTTTGCAATGGCTCCACGTCTGATTTTTTTTTCGTGAATATTAATGTCAGTGGGAATTAGCTTCATTCGTTAATGAGATGTGGGCACATAGTTGGCAGTGGTGGGCAAAATGAGAACCCTGCCCCCTTTTTTCCATATGGCTGCCAAGCCCCTAAAAGGGTGTGTTTGCGATGGTTCCACATCTTGAATTTGTTTTCTCATGAATGTCAGTGTCTGTGGAAAGTTTCGTTTTTCTTAGAATGTGGGGAAAATATTTCCATGGTGGGCATAATAAAAAACCCACCCCCTTTTTTCCTAATATGGTTGCCACGCCCCTAAAAGGGTGTGTTCGAGATGGGTCCACATCTGGATTTTTGTTTCTCATGAACATAAACGTCGGTCGGATGTTTTATTCGTTCATGAAATATGGGAACAATTTTTCCCAAGGTGGACATCATAATTACCCCCCCCCCCTATTTTAACATGGCTGCAACGCCCCCAAAAAAGGTACTTTTATGGCGGCTCCGAATCTGGAAAACACTTATAATCTATATAATTATGTCTTTGTGAAGTTTCCTGCTTTTTTGACGAGTGGGAACAACCGTTTTCACTGCGGGCGCGACACGTCCCGCCCCATTTTTTAAAATGGATGCCACGCCCCTAAAAAGGTAAATTTGCGATGGCTCCA